GTTCAATTCTGGTTCCTGCCACCTCCAAAAGTTTTCCGACGACTCCTCTATAGTCGGATGCATCAGCAATGATGACGAGGAGGAGTACAGAGGACTGATTGAGAGCTATGTAGAGTAAAGCAAACAAAACCACCTTCAAATCAACATCAGAAAGACTAAGGAGGTGGTGGTGGACTACTGGAGGAACCGGAGGCAACCTGCCCCAGTCACCATCCAGGGCGAGGAGGTGGAGATGGTGGACTCATACAAGTACCTTGGGGTCCAGATCAACAATAAACTGGACTGGACTCATAACACAGATGCCCTCTATAGGAAAGGACAGAGCAGGATGTTCTTTCTGAGGAGACTCATATCGTTTGGCATCTGTAGTGGGCTCCTCAAGACCTTCTACCAGTCTATGGTTGCCAATGCACTCTTCTTTGCTGTAGTGTGCTGGTGGGGTGGAGTTCAGACTGGTGAGGTCAACAAGCTCAACAAGCTTGTGAGGAAAGCCCGCTCTGTGGTGGGACTGGACCTGGACAGTCTGGAAATAGTGGCTGAGAGGAGGGTGAAGGACAAAATCTGTGCAATCCTGGACAATCCTTCTCACCCTCTGCACGACAAGCTGTGGCTGATGGGCAGCTCATTCAGCCAGTGGGTTATCCCACCCAGGAGCAGAACTGAATGATTCAGACGCTCTTTTGTGCCCACTGCCATCAGACTGTACAACAGCGGTTTGGCTTAGCTACATCTAGTTCTGAACTGACTTATTTTATATCCGTCCAATATGACACTTCTGCCACTATCTGCCACCTGACAGTTTATTTCATTCAACACTTTGTCTGCCATTTCTTAGTCATTTTATTCATCTGATGTAGCAATTTTATTAATGTAGCAATTTTATTTTATCTTTATTTATCTATTATTATTTTTAATTTTTACATTTTATTTTTTCTCTTTAATCTTATTCTATTTAATGTCCTTTGATTTTGTCTTGTGCTGCTGTGGTACTTGAATTTCCCCCCTGGGGGATCAATAAAGTATATCTTATCTTATTTTATCTTATCTTACACACTGGGACTCATCCTGAACTTATTACAATTAAAACTTGCCAGACCACTCCTCTCCAGCACACCAAACTTTATTCAACCAAAGTTTTCAGCTTACTTAGCCCTTCATCACGTGTGTTAGTGACAGTTGTTTCTGTTTGCAGATATTCAGGGTTTTCAAAGACGACATTGTGCCCAAGAATATCAAGCCTCTATCTGTTTACATTTTGGCAACTTGGTACCAATTAATAGTATGTTGAATTAGCCATTAGCAGTTCCTGTTTGCAATTTACAGATGGGTGTAAGTAGGGATGCACTGCATTGGATTTTTAGCCAATATGCCAATATATAACAACCTATTTTACCGATAACCCATACTGATATCGATACATCCACTTTTTCTCCACCTAATTTTAGTGATCATCAAGTCTCTTCTGTAGTAGAATAAACATATTGTTGGGACCTGACCTCGTAAAGGATCTCCAATAAATGTGAGGTATCAAAATGGCTGTCAGAATAATTAATAATTATCAATAATAATTATAAATTACGTTAAATAATGTGACTTAATCTAAATTAAATCACCTTGTGGGACACCATTCCTAAAAAGGGAAAAATGATAACCAGCTAATGATATCAGTCTCATTAAATACACTAAACTTTTAATTTGAAACTCTGATTAATAGTTAAATCAATAACTATAACCAAAGAGGATGACAATTTATTTACTCTTGTGCAACATTAAAGGACAACTAAGGTATTTTTCAACCTCGGCTCTATTTCCCCATGTGTATGTGTGCATATGATTCATGAGTACCACTCGTTCTAAAATTGGTTCAGTATTGAGGCGCGAAACGAGCTAAAACGGTAATGGGGGCAAATGCGTCCAGTATAAAAGTGCTTTATTTAGCCAATGACCAGTTCAGATCACCAGTGATATCTCTGTAAATAGCATATAGTAGCGGCCCTGGGGCAGTGGTGAGTGAGAATGAGTGGAGTCAGCTGTCAGTCAGTGTTGGAGCAGAGAGGGGGAGGGCGTCCCCGCTCGGTACTGTAAGTGAGTATGTGTGTGTGAAGTGTGTGTTTTTTCGCCACTGACCGGTTCAGATCACCAGTGCTATCTCTGAAAATAGCATACTAACTTAGCCTTTCCCTTACCTCTGGGCTGTGTGATGTCACAAGCTTTGCTCCACTGTGTCTGTAGCTCTCTCTACTCGTGGGACAGCCATTTTCTTGAGGAAGAGGTGTTTCGGGATTGGATGTCTTCTCTTCTTCGGCTGGCAGTAGTCATCTTGGGAGAAGTGAGCACTGCAGACCCGATGGTCTGCAAGGCACAGTGTCTGGAGAGGAGTGTTAGCATCCATTTGTAGCACAACTAGCCACAACTTCAGCATCTCGCCGTCCGACAAAGGCAGCCTATGAAAGCTGTACCGGGTGTTGCGCGACATCCTGTTCTTGCGTTCGGGAAAAAGGCCCGTTTATTTGAGCACTCCAAAAACTC